CTGTTGGGTCAGCAACTCAACTACCGCGAGGTGGACGAAATCCTCAAGGACGTGGATCTCAATGGGGACGGCCTGGTGGATTTCGAAGGTACTGTGTGGGCAAGGCAGTGATCTCTAATGGTTAGAGCTGGCGGGCTGGGAACCAGGACTCCTGGCTTCCATCCCCAGTTCTGGGAAGGGAGTGAGGTCTGGTGGGTTAGAGCAGTGGAGGCTGGGAGCTAGGACTCCTGGGTTCCATCCCCAGCTCTGGGATGAGAGTGGGGTCTGGTTAGAGCAGCGGAGGCTGGGAGCCAGGACTCCTGGGTTCCATCCCCAGCTCTGGGAAGGGAAGGTGGCCTAATGGGTTGGGGGAGGTACCAGGATTTCTGGGTTCTTTGTCTTCACTGCCCTAACAGTGTCCTTGGGTTGCTCTGGCAGAGTTTGTGCGAATGATGTCACGCTGAGGCAACAAGTGCCAGTGCAGGGTGCGGGACAAGAGCCCTGCTGTGCCTTACGGAGAGGAGGGGGCTACAGAGAGCTGGCTCCAGCGGCAGCTTGGAGGGTCCGGACACCAGAGCAGCACAACGCGCAAGCACTGAGCAAGGACCTCACCTCTCCAATGCTGGCCCTGCCACAATGCACCCCGACCCCCCACGCCGGCTCCGCTGCTGATCTCTGCCTGCACCCCAGTCTGCTCATCCTGCATCCCAACCCCACACTGGCCCCTGGTCCACTCTGCCCACACCCCCAGATGGCTCCGCCCGCACCTCAGTCCATGCCATCCCTTGCTCCTGAGATTGGCCTGCACCTCCAAGCCCTGGAGCAGGCCAGTGCCTGGAACACGGACTCAGCCAGGCATATACCTTCTATCAAAGTGCTGCTCCCTGGCTCCAACAATGCTGCCCCTCTCACCTTATCCCTGCTCCTGTTCCCACCCTTTACTCTGCCCCACCACCCTGACCTTGCCCTTGATGCTGCCCCTAACACAGCCCCCCCACACACCAAGCCCTCCCCCCAAACACTGCAATCCAACCCAGGTAACACTGTTCCCAACACCCCAAACCTGTCCCCAACCTAGGGCTGTCCCTGGCATGACACCCCGGCAATCTGCATTCACCCCAATGCTGTCCCCCTGACCTTGTCTTCCACACCCTGGCCCCACTCCCCAACCCAAATGCTGCCCCCTGCACCTTTCCAATTCTCCAGACTGGTTCCCAGTAGGTTTAGAGTGTGTTTCCCTGTGACTCTACCCAGCCTGTGCCCCTTGCTTGTCCCCCAAGGTGTTCTGTTTGTGAGCCCAATAGATGATCTAATAAAGAGTTGTTCTTCTTCACACCTGAGTAGGGAGAGTGCAGAGGGGGGCGAGGAGGGCAGCCCTTCCCAAGCTCTCACCATCACCACCCCCCTAGGTGCTGCTGCCAACTCTGGTGCGAGTGGGGTCTGGGCTACATGGGGTGGGGGGCAGCTAGGATCAGACATGGGGTGGGATCTAGGTTTTGGGAGGGTCAGAAATTGGGGGGGCAGGATCAGTGCTAGGCCCCAGCTTTTAAACAGTCCATTGGAGGAGTCCCTCAGTGTGCCAGCCCCCCAAGGGTCCCACTCTTCCTCCAAGGCCGGCCCTGCAGCCTCACTCCCTCCAAGATGGAGCCCCTGGGCTCCAGCCCTCCTGCTTCACCCCTGAGAGCTCTGCCCGGCACGTCCCACTGAGCCAGACCCCTGGAGAGACCTGGCCGCTCTTCAGGGGCTCCGACACCCCAGCCAGCATTTTCAAAACGGTCGGGTTTATTAGTCGCCTTTCACACAGCCCAGGGAGGCCTTAAGTCAGCAGAGAGAACTGAGAGTGGTTAAAGAATCAACCATTGTGGTTGAGCCACAATTTACGAGCCAAGCCCGACCCTGCCCATAAAGCCGTCCCCCACCTCCCAAACCTGCCCCCGACCTAGCCCAAACTCCATGTTCACGCTCTGGATCTCTCGGATTTGGTGAGAGCCCCCAGCTTCTTCCAGAGCCCATATGTGTTCCCTGCTGGACCCATCTGTCTTTGTTCTCCAGGCAGGGCCACGCTGAGGTCACAGCCCCCCCCCCCGGCCGGAGCATCCTGCTGTTGAGTGTCGATGTGTGCGAGTCATGGAGCTTGCGCTTTCTCTCTGGCCCCCTTGTCGGTCTGGGTCAGTTTCAGCCAGTACGTTAATGACTCTTTGTTCCACCCAGACAGGGAGGTGACACCCACCCCTATGTCTCTGAGTCTGCCCTGAGAGTAACTTAATCCTTCCCCCCCACGCTGGATAGCCATGGCACATATAGGGGAAACGAGGCACACACAGGATTCATAAAACTCTTACAAAATATTCCCACTTTGTCACAGGACAGGGTTCTGGCCGGAAGTGCTGGTTAGGGGGCAATAGGCTGCAGCCATTCCTGCAGGGTGCTGGGGGAGAGCTCTATGTCCCAGCTGTCCTCTTTTTGGGCTTGCTCTGGTGAGTTCCCAGTAACCACTGGGTTTGGCTATGTCGCCATGGATAGTCTGTGCTAATGTTCGACACTGGGATCACTGGGACATCAGATTTCAAGGCCAGGCCAGTTGCTGCATGGTGGCACTCTTGGCTTCATAACAGTCCCCTTCTAGCTGTTCTCTTGTACCCTGGGTGTGACTCATGCAGCAAAGCTGCCTGTCTCCAGAGAGCCTGACCCATCACTGGGGTGGGGGGAGCTGCCCCAGGTGTGCCCAACCCAGTGATGCTGCCTGAGTCTGCGGAGAGCCTGACCCCATTGCTGGGCATGGGGAAACTACCTCAGGCATCACCATCATAGGGTTCAGCAGGTAGTTCCTGCCGAACCCCATGAAGCCAATTGCGCTGTCAGCGTTGTTCCTGCCAGTGGCGTTGGCAGCGCCATCCTGTGAGCGTGGATCCATCGCTGTCCGATGCAGAGGCAGTTACTGGGGTGAGGGGCAGCTAGTTGCAGGGTGGGAAGGAGGAATTCATCCCTGCACTCAGTGAAAGCCCCCCCCCCAATCCCTGCCCAACAGGGAGGCAAAGAGGAGATGCCCCCGCCCCAGGCCCTGAGTGCCCCCATGCAGCCAGCCACAGCGCCACTCCCTGCTCACCAGCTGCGGCCGATGGCTGGCGAGGAGCCAGGCGATGGCTCCCCTCTCTTGACCGCGGGCGGCCCCGGCCCCGGCCATGCTCCCCCCCGGGCTAGGCTGGTCCCCGCCCCGAGCAAGCGGGGTCTCGAGCAAACTCCGAGCAGGTGGGTGCCCAGTGGCTCGCGGGCTGATCGGCCAGATCCAGCCCCGCGGCGGTGCAGGGGGGGGCACCCAGGCCACGGCCCGGGTTCGGGTTCGGCTCCAGCCCAGCGGGCGGGTCCCGTCCCTCGGGAGCCCCGTCTCGGAGCCCGCGGCCCAGCCACGTGGCGCAGCGGCCCGAGAGCCGGGCGGGGGCCCCCGGACCCGGCCTCCCTGCGCGGGCTGGCCGCGCTGCCGCGGTTCAGGGACCGGGGCCGGTCCGGCCGAGCGCGCCTAGGCCGTAGCTGGGCATCTCACTGCTCTCCATGGAGACGGGAGGGAGCGCGCGGGCGCCATTACGTATGAGACAGACGTCACAGAGGGGGGCGGAAGACGCAAGCGCGGGGGGGGGAAGCGTCATCGCGAGCGGACGCTGCGGGGTCCGAGCGGAGCGAGCCAGGCGGCAGCGGCGCGCGCCGGGCCTGGCGGGCCCAGGCCTGTGGGGACGGGGCGCGAGCAGGAGGGGTGAGCGCTAGAACGCGCGCGCTTGAGGGGCTGGGAAGGGGCCGCGCGCCCACCCAGCGTGAGGACAGAGCCGAGAGCGGCGTCGGGACCCAGCGGAACGGTGAGGCTGCGGCCAATCAACTGCGAGGGGTGAGCGGGGCCGGCCAATCGGCGCGAGAAGCCTCGCCAGCCGGCCAATCAGCGGCAGCGTGCGGGATCCTCCCACTAGCCCGGGAGTCGAGGCGCCCCGCGCCGGAGCCGCAGCCAATCAGCGCCCAGGAGTCGCGCGCCGCGTCAGGGAGGGGACACGGGGATGTCCTACAAGCCCATCGCGCCCGCCCCCGCCAGCTCCGGAGCAGCCGGCACCAGCAGCAGCGCCAGCCCCGCCCCGGGGCCCCGCCCGCCGGTGAGCAAGAGAGGGACCCCCCCGCCCGACGCGACCCCCCCCGGAACAGCCCCTCCCCCGGGGAGCAACCCCCCCTCCCCGAGTAACACCCCCCCCCAGAACAGCCACTCCCCCAGGATCAGTTCCCCCTCCTGGAGAGACTTCCCATCCTACCCCTGGAACAGTCCCTCCACCAGGAGCGACTCTCCCCAAGAACAACCCCTGCCATGGGAGCGACCCCCCCCCAAGTCCTTTCCCCGGAACAGTCCCTCCCCTGGGAGCGGCACCCCCTCCCCGGGGAGTGCTCCCCTCCTCCTCGTGACTCCTCCACGGAGCAGCCCTTCCCCTGGGAGCAACCCCCTCCCCCCCAGTTACTTCTTCCCAGAACAGCCACTCCCCTGGGTGTGACCTCCCCAGAACAGCCCCTCTCCTGGGAATGGGGACCTTCCCCCCCTCCCCCTCACAGCCCCTCCCCCACAGGAGCCAGTGATTTCCCCCACCCACCAGTGAAAAGCCAACACCCCTCCTGTCCCCCCCAAACCCGGAAGTCCGCTCTCCTTTTGTCTGGCCTTGTTTCCTTTCACCAGTGAGAGACCAGCCCCATCAGAGAACAGCCCTCCCCTTGCCAAGGACCCCCCTTGGGACCAGCCCCCTCCGAGCCTTACCCCCCTGCCCCAAGTAACTTTATTGTAGATCTTCCCCCTTCCCCCAGGACCCCAGCTCCCCAACTGATCCCCCCCCCACACCTGCCATTGACAGACCCATGCACAGGACCACTTCCCCACCCCCCCACCCCCCAACAGCCCTACCTGGCCTCCCACCCACCCAGCCCCCGAACCAAACCTCCCAGGGCACCACCTGCTGGGGAGCCCCCGCAGCCAGGACCCCTTCACAGTAACTCTGGTTCATGTCAACATCCTGAATCCGCCCTGCCAGACAGTGCCACAGCTCTGTCGCCCGCAGGCCTTCCCTTCCCTTCCCCTGCCCTGCGCCATTGGCATAGGCTGCTTGTGGCTCACACTGTTTCTTCAGTATTACACCGGTTGGGGACTTTTTCCGCTTCCCCTTGGGTAGACACGTGGGCACTGTGGTCAGAGAAGCTAATGTGGTCGCTGGCAGGTCTGTCTCTGCTGCCTTTGAGCTTTGACACCGTGTATTCTCCTCGTACTGTGATCTGTCAGCTCAGCTCCTAGGTAGCATTTCTCATTCTGAGGCCTCAGAGCACTTTATTAAGAAAGTAAAGTCCAGGTGCCCCTATCTTACAGATGGGGAACTGGGGGTGGAGGGAGGGGGAATTTGCTTCTCCAAGGTCTATGGCATAGCAAGGAGTGGAACTAAAATCTTCTGACACCCACTTCAGTGCTTTTTCCCCTAGACCAGCCTGCCATGTGACCTATGCGCCAGGCCAGGCATTTGCTTTTCAAACCGCAAGATGGCCTTCCTGGAGTGCAGCTTGGCTGTGAAGTGAACTGGCCTGTCCCCACTCGCTCCTCTTGGCTGTGTGGGTCGTTCAGCGGCTTGCTTGTCTTCCATTCGGTGCCTTGGAGAGCCTGCTTGTCTGTAGCAGATGCTGCACGCTTTGGTAGCCTCTGAGCTGAAAGAGCAGCTTGTTGTTTGAGAAATAAGCTCGGATTGTGGAGTCAGACTTGTTATCGTAATGCTGCCTGCGGGTGACAGGCTAGTGCCTGCAGCTGGGACTTGGGCGTTCCTGACTTCAGAGCAGTTAACTGTGCAATCTTGTACACTCCCTCCTAAGGAATTAGGAGGCTGAATGCAGAAAAGTTGCATTTGTAGCTGGTCATAAACTAGAAGTTTACCCACAAAAGCTTCTGCCCAAATAAATCCCTTAGTCTTTAAGGTGCCACCGGACTCCTTGTTGTTTCCATTAAAAGTGTCAATTCTGTTCCTGGAGTGGGAGACTCCTGCTGATAGGGCACTTCTGAGGGACCTAACCATGGTAGGGGAAAAAAGCAGCACCATGGTAGATGGGATTCCAGGGGGACAGATGCTAAGTAATGCACACTGGAGGGACTAATCTGAACTCACCATCCACTTTACTGGGCTGTGTATTAACCATCACCACTCACGGCACCGCGGTGTACCACTCTCTGATTCCTCAACTTGCAGCGCAACAACGGTGCGAAAGGCAAACGCAGCGCTGTGTTTGCCTCAGGAATGGGCTGGGGAATACTATTGAAATCCTCGGCATGCCCTTCCGTAAATCAGTGGGGAGCCCTCCCTTGGAGATGATGTGCAGTACTGGTCAACCCATTGCAGAAGGGACACTGCCGAATCGGAGGGGCTTCAGAGATGAGCGACAAGAAACTCTCCGCCCTGGAAGGAGGTTGGGATAGCTCAGCTTGGCAGAGAGGGGATTTGACAAAAGGGTACAAAACACTGAATGGACTCCTAGAGACTGTCGAGCAGGACTGTGTATTTCCCTTGTCGTAATGCAAGGAACAAGGGCATTCAATGACATAGGAATGTGGCACATCAGGCTCGCTGCTTTTAACTCCAGGAATCTTTGGTAAAGGGAAATACTTTTTTACGCAATTAGCTTGTGGAAATCACTGCCCTGGGATATCACTGAGGCCAAGACCTTAGCTGGATACAGAAAAGGATCAGATAGTTAACAGGATTCCTTTCATCCAGCCAGAACCAGTTCTTACTATTTAATATTTACTATTCTATCTGCCATGGGGCAGGCTCTCCCATAACTGCTGCTGCAGAGTATTTTGCACCTTCTTTTGAAGTAGATGCTGCATATTTTAAGCATGCAAAAATCAGGAAGTGTCACAGTTGGGGGGGTGGAGGGGTATTGGCTTTTGCTGCTGTATGATGTGTAAAGAAAGCTGTACTGTGGTGGTGGTTTGATCTGCTTGTGTGACTCATGTTAGATATTCAGATCTCGTCTTCCATTTTTCTCCTGTAAGACTCTCTGACCCCTGGGACAGTCCATAGGCTTGTGACATCACCAAAAAAGTGAATCCTCAGCTGTGGGGCTTGGAAGGGAAGCTCAGAGCATGTCTACACATGAAAGTCAACCTGGAAGAAGCTGGCATGTGAATCAAAAGCGGATTAACTCTTCCTGATTAACTGCCTGTGTGAATGCCTTTATTCCAGAACAAGAGTGCCTTGTTCTGAGTTAGTTTAATCCACACGGGAAGTGGATTAAACTGATTTGGAGTAAGAGCATCGACACATAGAACAGCTATTCTGGAATACCACCCTGTGTAGACAAGGCCTTAGTCAGCAGGGTTAAACATCTGGATTTTGTCTCATGCCAATGCCTGGCATACAGCTGGGAGAGAAGATATTTTATGAAGCCATAACTGTCAAACGGTTGCATGAAGGACCCAGGAATCTCCCACTTCTCTGGTCCAACAAGGAGTTCTCTAGGCCAGGATTGATACTGCAGGTGGCTTGAGGCAAATGGAGAGATGCTTGTAGCTGAGACTTGACGTGAGAGAGAAGTTGGTGATGCAGATGATGGGGGATGTGGGGGAAGCTCTGACATTGACCCTTTTGTGAGGAGCTGGTGCCAGACAAGTGGAGGAAGCAGGGGAGGCAGAAGATAGCTGGGCTGGGTGGGTTCCCTGGCCTGTGCTATGCAGGAGGCCAGACACGGATGGTCTGAGTGAGACAGCAGGCCAGTAGGGAGGCTGGAGTGGTGTTGAGAAGGCGCTAGAGAGCAGGGTGACTTGTTGGGATCTGGAGGGAAGGCGAGTGAGCTGCGTGCACGGAGGTACCCATGCTGCTTTGTGCCCAGAGGAAGGCAGCTGCAGCATGCTAGAGCAGGGGTTTGGGGTGGTGGGCCGATCTGTAGACCCAAAGCAGGGGGAGCAGAGAATTAAGCGTCACAGACGATGCCCAGGTTCTGGGCAGTGGAGCAAGTGTAGGCCGGGAGTCGGAGGAGGGGCAGTGGAGATGGGGTTGTGGGGCGGAGGCAGCTCTTGCCCAAGATAGGCTTTTGTTCCTTTGCAACACTTGGCTGCAGGAAGCTGAGCTAAACCCGTCAGCTCCTGTGGCCAAGGCCAGCAGGGTGTGTGGGGAGAGGAGCCCGTGGTGCTGCTGGGAGCCGGGGGTTAATGCTCCCAGTACCTGGCAGAACTCGGTCAGTGGCACTCTGCCCATGGCACAGCTGGCAAGTGGGGTTGCACAGGGAGAGGGCGAGAGCCCTGGTCTCCTCCCAGCCCTGCGCCCAGCCTCTCCGCCCCAGGAAGGTGGCGAGAGCTGAAAATGGAACTGAGCCCTCCATGGAGTGGGAACACTATAGGGAAGGGCCATAGTGTCAAAGGCTGCATTGAGCCCAAAGGAAGGGGGAAGGGCAATCCCTGCAGAAGCCCTGGTACCATGGTGATAGCGCGAGTGTAGGAGCCCAGCTAGACAAGCTTGGAGGGGTTGGCGGGGCGTGCGCTGTAGGTCTAGCAGCGAGGCACAGCCTGGGTGCTATGATATAGGCAGGGGGTCGATAGATCGCTGGGACATTGGAGCAAAGGGAGGAAGCAGCAGATTCTCCCCCTCTGGTTTGTGGTGGCAGCGAATGGCACAGGCCAGATATCACTGAACAGCACCAGGGCTAGAGCCCTGCCCCAACTGAAGCCCAGCAGATCCAATCCACTACCCCACCCACCCTGCACAACAGGGGGAAGGAACACCATGTGCCATGAGTGGGATATTGCGGCCTCTCTAGCATTGCTGCAGCCCACAGCAGGGTTGGGAGGGGCCTGTGTGCTGGATAGTGCTGGCCACAGGGCACTGGGTCGGGAATAGGGATGCTATTTCCTGGGTGACCTCCCGTCTCCTTTCCCATTTCTTTCAGCCACGAGTGTCCCATCGCCATCCGGATCTGTCCCTGGAGCCTCTGCCCCCTTCCGGCCCCTCTTCAACGACTTTGGCCCCCCGTCCATGGGCTACGTGCAGGTGAGCCACTGCCCCCACCTCTGCTGCCTGGCCCTGCATGGCCTGGGGAGGGCTGGCTCCCTCATGCTCTCTCTGCCCCTTGCAGGCCATGAAGCCACCAGGTTCCCAGGGCTCCCAGAGCACGTACACTGACCTACTCTCAGTCATTGAGGAGATGGGCAAAGAGATTCGACCCACCTATGCAGGTAGCAAGAGTGCCATGGAGCGGCTGAAACGAGGTACGAGGCGCTGGGTGTGACTGACTCAGTGACCCAACCTGAATGTCTGAGCCATCTGCTGAGAGCCTGAGCTACCCCGGGTGTGACTGATGCGGCCTGAGTCTTCAGAGAGCCTGAGGCCATTTCTGGGGGAGAGGGGAAGGAGCTGCCCCAGGTGTGATCAGTGCAGTGATGCTGACTGAGGCTGCAGAGAGGTTGCTGGGCCGTGCGGGGCAAGTCTAAACCCATTGCTGGTGCTGGGGGTGGGGAGTTGCCCTGGGGGTGGCCGACGCTGCCTGAAACTGCAGCGAGCCTGAGTCCATCACAGGGAGGGGACCACGGGCTGCCCCGGGCATCTCAGTGGCAGTTCTTGCCAAACCCCAGGAGGACAATTGCCCTGTCAGCGTTGGTTTTTGCCCGTGGGATTGGGAACCACCTCCCGTGAGTGGGTGTCACTC